CAAATACATGTTATTTTTAGGTATTTCACTTTTGTCGCCATATTGGTTTTAGAATAACTCTGCATGGGCATTTTTTAAAAAGCTTATTTTTTATTTATATTAGTACGTAGAACTATATAGTACGTACTATATAGTACGTATTATATTAGTACGTAGAACCTTCAGAAAAAATAACAATACTGAAAAAACTTTTGTTCTGGAGATCTAAAACTTTGGCAATGTTCACAGGACCGTCCTGAAGAGGTCTTTTACAGGAGAGGTGGGGTGTCTTAATATTTTTTGCTAACTAGAGCCACCAAAAAATAATAATATAAAAAAAAAAGGCCCTGGTTATTTGACATTTTCCCACAATACTTCAAAAATTGCCAATTCAAATATTAAATATATGTTAATATATTCAACATTTGAATTGGCAAATGCATATATAACAGCTTTAAAGGGTGGGATACCCCCGTCACCCCAACCCCCCCCCCCCAGTTCGGGAGGCTCTGAATGTTCATGAAACATGTTCAACTACATACCGACAAAGTTTTATCAAAACCTGAATTGATTGAGTGGGGATGTTTTGGCAAAAGTTTGGCATGGAATGACTCATATATTTGGTCTGACTTGATGACTATCCGGCGGTTGCAGAGTATATTTGTCCAGAACAGTCAGAGTTAGAACTAGAGAACTTTTTATCGCAAAATCAACAGTCGATTGATCCCATCATTTTCGTACGAGTCTATATTTTACTCAAATCGTGTAATGTGGCGTTTTTGTTATCAGGAAAAAGCTTCAACTTTACTCTATTAAAAGCAAGACTTTTTTCTGTCGTCTGTGTCGGTGAGCCAAAAGCAGTAAAAGCACTAAAAGCAGTAAAAGCACTAAAACCAGTAGATGTCTGAGAATTCTTTCTTTCTTTTTTGTCCATCAATTCAGCCTAATGTTGAATTACTATTATTTATTTTTTTTACCGATTGAGTTTGATAAAGAGGGTAGAGGGGTAAAAAACCGAGAAAAATTACTGACATTATTTATTTTATTATTTTTATTTGTTCTTTATTACAATATTTAATACAATATTAACAAAATATATCAATAAGAAAAATTACATGCAAAGAAAACGTTCAAAATTAAATAATAAAGATAAAGAACGCGGATACTCATAGAAGACCATACAAGTCTTGTCACCTAGAACCGCTGTTGAAGAACTTTGAACTTAATTTAGATTTTAGAAAAAACAAAAATAAATAAATACAAACTTTAAACTTTTCTTTAGTTATGGTCTTTATGGCTTGAATTAAAATTCTTCTGAATCTCATGGCTCAAGCGAAAACAATAAAATCATAATATTCTTGATAACACGTCTCCCATCTTACTCGCATCTATACGGTCACTGAATCTTTTTACTCAAATGTATCTTACAATTACACTAATCTTAATTGTTAATTAATTAATAAATAAACGAAAATAATAAGAATATGATTGCACTAGGTACATCCAAATGCACTTCAAGGTTGTCCAAAAGATTGTGTAGAAGAATTTAGAAAGCCAAATGATGGTGTCTCTGTGTGTGAAGCCAAAATTATCAAATGTTGGTGCGTTTACGTTTACGCTTCCACCAAAAAAAATGCCAAACCACTGTAAAAGGATGGTTAACTTCGTGAAGTATCATACATACAATATTTTCATTATTTACGAACGATTACCCTAGAGTTGTTATTAAAAGATATTTTGAACTATATTATTTTAATACATTATATAAAAAAAACCTTACGTTAGTATCGCATTGTTGGTTCAGTGGTAGAATTCTCGCCTGCCACGCGGGGGACCGGGGTTCGATTCCCCGACAATGCATTCTTTTTGATAATAACGTAAAAAAATTTTTTATTTGTATTATCTATCATATCATCATACAGTAGTGGAACTTTTCGAAGAAATGATAAACTAATGTTTGTTGTTAAACAGAGAGTTTTTCTTGGAATACTAGCTTGAGAGTTATAAACACACCATTATAATTAAAATTATAGTTGCGGTCCATATCGGCGTTCTTCTTCTCAAAAAATGAATATGTTAAGGCGAAGCACTTGTCATATTTGAAACGAGCCCGCTTTTTATTGAAAATAGGCCAATGTTCAAATTGAATCACTTTATGAGAAATAGCAATTTTTGGACCGATACGTGGTGTGACGTCAGCTAGTGATTCTTGACCAATGCCGGCTGGGTATGTTGTATATGTCCTATGTAATGATTAGTAATGGACATATCATATTGACTGAATGATATATACAACATATCAATATATCATACAGGCTGCACCCTGTTGATACCACAAGGCTCTCTTCTATAGAAAGAAGTTAGATTGATTGCTAAAGATAAGAAGAAATAATAAAAAGTTTTTATAACAAAAGAAATAAAAATAAAACAAAAGTATAAAATTTCAAATTTTTCTCCTCAGATACATGATGTATCGTTTCTGATACAGTTTAAAAATTGTTAAGAAACGAAGTTTGAGGAAAACAAAAAAAAAAAATACACAAGAGGACTATCAATATATATAAAAAATTGGATAATTTTGGTGAGTGTATAATTTAAAGGAATTTTGCTTAACAAAATGATGTACTTAAAATGATTAGTTGATTTGTTTCCGGAAGCCATTTTAATAACATAAGCAACATAATCAAAAGTTAAAGTCACAAAAAAGTTCCAAGTGCTGTGGTAACATTCACCTAGATATCGTACGCTTAAGCTTATTTCCCGCTAAAAATTGTTGCGCAATCGACCAAAGATACGCCATTTATAAGCTGTATCATATATGTCGTTGAACAGTCATTGAACAAGGAAAAGACTACTAGCTCCTCAGAAAAGTACCATAGGTGTTGTTCAAAAGACTTGATGGTTTTGTGTGCACTTTCAAGGTCGATTGAATTAAATTTCCTCATTAAATAAAAGAAATGCAGATTGTTAGCTAGAGCAGCAGCAGTAATAGAAGATTGAAAAAAGTACTTTCTGTAATAAAGGCAAATGTACTCGGGCTTCCTTTCAACCTTTTTTGCTTCTTCGTCATTAATTTCAAAAGTACGAGATAGTAGGAATATTTTTGTATAATAAATGGCTTCTGACATCCAACTTGCATGATGATCAAAATCGGCAAACCGAAAAGGCTCTACTAAGACCAATTTGCTTCTCAATTAGAAACAGCTCCACTGTTTGCAGATGCTGTATCATAGATAAATGCTAAAAGATGTTGTAAATAAACAATTGCTTTTAATTTCCATTTATCAACTAGGTTCACCACTGAACAAAATTGCGATTGACCAGATCCTTCGGCAATTTTAGGATTGCCTAGCAATTTTGGAGCTGGCACTGCATTTACAGCTAGTCGCTCCAAGTTTTTTTAATTAATTTAGCTTTTTCAATTCTGTTAACATATAGCAAAAGCAGGGCCGGCCTTACGAATTGCGGGGCCCAGTTTAACGAATGCTTGCGGGGCCCACCTGACTTTTTTATTTACAATAACTACTATTAATAAAATTATTGAAACACATTTATTATACAAAAAAACATAACTCCACAAACGAATCAATAAACAATAATAAAAATATTACAATGAATTTAAACAAAACAGTTCTTGTTATTGTCATAATAAACAAATAATCTATAAGTCAAAGTGGATCTTTCTTGCTTTTTTGCTTGCGAAATCTTTTAGAATTTTTTCATAATTAATTTCTCTACTTATAGGAGATTTAATTGATATTAGTGCCAAATTGTTTAGTCGTTCTTGGTTAATTACTGACCTAAGGTAGGTTTTAATTAATTTTAGTTTTGAAAAACTTCTTTCACCGGAAGCGACTGTAACTGGAATTGTCATCAGTATTTTTAGGGCTATGAACAAATTTGGAAATGCAGTCGACCTATCATTACAAGCCAAATATTTAAAGAGTTCTTTGGGTTTTTGTTGTTGAATGGGCAGTATTGGCTTAATTGCCTCCATTTCTTCGGAAAGCATGAACCTTTCTATATCTTTTGTAATGTCTGTCAAAGCAATTTCTAGGTCGGCTGAATTTTTTCTGAAATCTTCTTTATACATATTCTGAAAATTATATAGAAATCCAAAAAGTTTATGGTGTTCTTTCAGCTGCATAAACCGTGGTTGAAGAGATTGCAATGCTTTGTCTACAACTTGATTGAAAAAATTTACCCGGAATTTTGTCTTGGGGTCTAAAATTGGTTCGTCAGAAGATTCATAAAGAAACATTTTCTTTTTCTTGTAACAGCGCCTCTGCTGAAATATGGGTTCAACTTCTAACTCATTTGCAAGCTCTTTGGCATCAATCAATGCAGCTACAAAGCCTGTCTCTCGGTATGTCTTCAACCAATCAAACAATTTTTCAAAAGATGTCAGCCCCGCGGCAATGTCTATGGTATTGCTTTGAAGTTCCTTGCTAGTAAAATTTACTTGAAACAATAAAGAGTGCTAAAAACATAGTGCAACCAGAAACCTATAATTTGTCATTTGGCTTACTAATGATTCAGCCTCACTTTTCCCTTGAGCATCATTTGTGCTTTTTGCTAGTTCTTCTAAAGCATCACACACTTCTGCGGCTTGAAATCGTACAGCTTTAACACTTTCCATTTTACATTCCCATCTTGTTTCTGATAATGGTTTAACAGACAGGCCTTTCACATGCTTTTTAAAAACAGTCCATCTTTTAGTAGATGAAGCAAAAAGGGTGTGAATACGCTGCAGGGTTCCAAAAAATGTCATGGCATCTGAACACGTTTTAGCCATATCTCCTAGAACAAGATTATAATTATGGCACACACAAGGAGTATAGAAAGCTCGTGAATTTCTTTCCAAAAGTCGTGCTTGCACTCCATAATTGTGCCCTTTCATATTAGCTCCATTGTCATACCTTTGCCCTCTGATGTTTCAACATCTAGTCCTAGCATTTCAATTTCTTTCACAAGAGTGTTAAATAAATTTTCACCAGTGCTGCTCTCAACTATAATAAACTTTATAAAATGTTCATAAATTCCTGCTGGGACATCTGAGTGTGTGCCATCAGCGACATCTGTTCCTGATGGCTGATATCAGGAGTGCAGTCAAGAATCACTGCAAAATACATTGCCGACTTAATTCTAGCAATAATTTCCTGTAGAACAGCTTGGCCTATAGTATCAATAATTTCATCTTGTATGGTCTTGCCTAAATAATGATCATGAATGTCTTTGTTAATAATTTTCTGTATATGATCTTGCATAACTGGATCAAATTTTCCTAGCAATTCAATGACGCCTAGAAAATTGCCATTATGTGGATTTCCAATTTGTTCTTCAGACCCACGAAATGTCAAGTTCCTTTCTGCCAAAAACTGTACAGAAGCAACAAGTCGCTCAAAGACTTGATTCCAGCGTTTTGTTTCCTGTCTTATTAATTTTTCATTTAATGTATCAACAGTTAATCCAGTAGATAACCTTTGCTGCAGTTCATAGCAATTAAGTGTACATTGCAAATGTTTTTTTGATTTTTCATGATCCTCTAATCTTGTATGAATATTTGACCAGCTGTCAAATCCAGAAGTAGCAAGTGCAGAATCAGAATTTGTGTCAAAAAGTTTGCAATAGTAACAGTAAACTTTATCAAATGATTCAGAATATATTAGCCATGGTCGTTCTATAACTTCCCCATTTTTTAATTTTCTTTTACAGTGAAATTTCGAAAAATGTAACCCTTTTTCATTTTGTGGAAAATTTTTTACAGTGATCTTAGGGGGTCCTTCGTTCACTAAATAATCTCTGACATTTTGATTTATTTTATTTGGCCATGTAGCAGGGTCATCTTTTATCTTTAAAATATCACATAGTGCTGGGTTTGAATTTTCTTCTCTTGATTCTGAAATATCCTCATTATCCTTGTGTGTGTTAACAGATATATTTATACATAATTCAGATGTATTTTGTTGAGCATTACATCCAGAAAGAAAACTACTACTAGCTTCTGATGTAATTTCTTTAGAAATATTTGTTTCACTGTTGTCTGACTCGACTTGTTTGTCTGATTTTTCAGTTTCAAACAGATCTTTTGATTTACTCAAATATTTATCTAACGCACCTTTTTCTTTTTCTGCTTCAGTTTTCTTTACCTTAGCTAAGGTTCTCTTCATGTTACCACTTAGATATTTTCTACCGACGTTCCTTTGTCTTTTACTCATATTTTGGCTTGTGTTTTTCAAAACTAAAAACTTATCTCTTTTTTTACTACTAAATTGCACAATAAAATAAAATAGTTTAATTAAACTAAAATAAATAAAAAATCCCCCTTACAAAATTAAAAGTAAAATTAACAAATGTAAGCAATTGATTACTGCAAATATCTTAATATAAATAAACAAACATTTAATATTAAGATTATTTATTAGACTTGAAAAAAAGTACTCTTAAAATTATCCAATAAAATTTATATTGTCTTAAATATAAAATATTTACTGAAAAGCGAGAAAAGTTTGCGTTAAACAAAAGTAAATAAAACTAATAGTAAACAAAATGAAAAATAATTATAGCATAAACAAACAAAAAATATATTACAAACATTTCAAAAGTAAAAACAGCTTAATCTTTAACAATATAAAAGCTGCCGCCATGTTCATTGCTTGCCTCGTGAATTTTCGGAAATAAGTACTTCTGGAACTTTCGAAAGTAGATTGGAAACTAATATATTTTATACCATATACCGCAATAACTAAGATAAACTAAAAATAACAATAGACGTTACCATGCGCATTAAACGTTCAACGTTAACTGTACGAATTATATTAAGATTGATAGAAATTTATAAAAAAAATTACTGCCATTTATAATGATATGCTATAAATTGCGGGGCCTCTACCAAGCGCGGGGCCCTATTTGGAGCAATCGGTCAAATCGGCCTAAGACCGGCCCTGAGCAAAAGTGTAATATCATTTAAAGCTGCTCCACCTATTGCTAAAGTTTTTCCCAAAATAAGTAGCTGTTGTCTTTACTTAATACCGTATCCATCATTTACTGTTCACGTTTCTTTTAATAAGTTCTTTTTTTGAAATTTTCACCCTTATCGAAGATTTGAAATTATGGTTTTTTTCACTTTCACTAAAAAATTGTCATCTTGTTTATCTTCTTCTGTAACATCTGAAGAAAATTATCACCAATAACGATTAAGCAAAATTCAAGATTTTTGAGTAGCTGTTTCTTAATATAAAACAATTCCTTTTTTTGCATTCTTTCATGATACACAGTGGTCAGAAAGGCTTGAAAATGCGAAATAATACTAATTTTTAAAAACGAACTAAATTTTTTGCCAAATAATTCTTCAAACCTTCAAGAAAGTACACTTGAAATATTTTTGCTCTGGTGCACTGAATTTTTGTATTTCGTCCCATTCAAAGAGCAAGGGTTAAAAATCTGTTTAGGGCTAAATTTTTTAATATATTATATCCAGTTTTACAAATTTGAAAAATTTTGCAGTAAGATTAATCTAAAATGAAATTCAATGTAAACGGATTAACTTGAAAGTCACAGAAAGTAAAGGATGCCAGATCATTTTCAAAATTGACAAAATTTTATTTTAAAAGATTAGAAAAATTAAATTTCTGGTCTTTGTCCAACTCTGTTCAATTCTATTCAAACTTTAAAGTATTGATTAAGAATTACTTAACCATTTCTGCTTAAAATCATACATTAAAGTTAAATCAATTCATTCAGCTGGCATGCCATTGCCATGGCAATCCTAAATTTGCCGCGCATCCTAAATTGCGCGGCTAATTTACGTACGTTCCCGTAAATTTAAGCGGCAAAATTTACACGAAAAATTTAAAATTTAAATAAAAAATTACAAAGACATAACTTTTGATTAGAACATTGTACATAAAAAGTTGGGTATTTATTGGAAAGCCTATTATTTAAGCCATGCAATTAACAGTTTGATTAATTATTCAGTACTAAATTTCTACAACGTCAACAACGTTTTAATTTGAGACATCATCTATGGTTTAAAGGTAAGAATTTTTATCTTATTTAACTTTTCCTATATTTTCCTATATTTCTATTAGCATTAAAAAAAACAAAGAACAATTTCAGGCAAATTATTAACAGCTCTCTCTTGGTTGCAAATATTTCATGCTACTCAAACAATATGTAAATGTACAATTTTCATTTGGTAGTAAATGCAAAAAAGCATGCTTAAAAGCTTTTATAATTTCTCTTTCAGATGTCCTTGTCACAAAAAGGCACTGAGTTGATTGAAATCAAAAATGGGGACATTTGTCAAGTCATGAAAGAGAGTAATGTTGCCATTACGGACAGAAATGGTCAAATATTTTTTCTGTACTCAGAACTTCTAACATTTACAGGCAATTACAGCAGAGATTTGTAAAATTCCAGTTAAACTTATTAAGAACATTGCCACAATCTGGGGAGCACTATCAAGTGGATTTTCCATCAATTCAACAAAGTTTGCTGAACTTTGCAAGGAAACTGAAGAAATTTATTTTGATGAAGAGAATGGCTGTGATTGGTATTTTTTACCTCCAACACTTCACAAAACTTTCAAACATGGAAAGGATCTTGTTGGCAATTGCCTTCTTCCAATTGGACTCACAAGTGAAGAAGGATCTGAAGCCAACAATAAGTTTTTGAGAAACTTCATCATACAAGAAAGTCTTGATGGGCACATGGCATGGCTGATATGTTCCACAGGCTCACAGATTTGAGTGATCCAAAGGTTCAAGGATCATGTATTGGAAAACTCCAAAGATTCAAAAAAAAGAGAAAACTGCCAGCAAGGATTGTTTCTTTACTTGAGTGTTGTAAACCAACCACACTAGTCACCAGGCTTTTGTGATGATAGTGATTCAGATTAAGTTTTTGGACATTTGAAATTATTTTTAATTTAAAAATAGAATAAAATTCTTGTGAAAATTAAAACAACTTATTAAAATTCATTATTTTTCTAAATTTTTTGTGTGATAAATATGTTTTCATTGTTATTCCAAGTCAAAAAAAATTTTCAACTAATCTAAAGTGTAAAAAATGAAATGAATTGAACTTAAACTTCATGAAATTCTTGTGGAAATGATTGCAACTTAATGTAATTAATTTTTTTTTCACTATATTGTGATAATGATGTTTTCAATGTTATTCTATTATTAAAACTATTACATTTTAAGTTGTCAAAAGTGTTAAAAACCAAATAAATTTTATTTATTTAAAATATTTCATGCTTAATTTTTTATATTATTACCACTTTTAAATGTTTTGGAAAGGAAACACACTTAATTCGCAATTTCAAGCATTTCTGACCACTGTGTGATACTATAGTTTCATCAATCGTTTTCACTCTTTTTAAGCAAGTATTTTGTTTACTCGAGCCATTAAACTCACTTGAGGAAACTTTTTTTGGCTTTTTAGGAAATCCCAGTCAATAAGTCACTCGTTGTTTCCAGAGTGTTTCGTCGTTACCAGAGGGTTTCAGCAATCAGCAATGTATAAGTGCCTGTATGTAATAAATCAAACACACAGTCCAGTTTCAATGTAAAATATGATAAACCAAACACACAGTCCAGTTTCAATGTAAAATATGATAAATAAAACACACAATCCAGTTTCAATGTAAAAGATGATAAATCAAACACACAGTCCAGTTTCAATGTAAAATATGATAAATCAAACACACAGTCCAGTTTCAATGTAAAAGATGTAGTTTTTTGCTTTACTTTTTTTTTGTCTTTTGCTTTCAGGAATTTTTTTCAGTTTGTCATATTCTTTTACCAAACAAAAAATCTGAATGCGAAGTCTAACAATCCTACTTGTTAGACTTCGTTGGAATACAAGCAGGTAACTAAAAGTTTTCAATGATATCATTAACTAGATGACTTGCAATGAGTCTTGTTTCTTTTCTAGGATCGTTTTCTCTCTCAAAAATATTTTTTTGAAATATTTGAAATATTCCATTGATATACTCAATGGTAGCTTCCCTCTTTTAAAGTTTTCTAAGGAAAAACCAACAATCCAATTATTTAAAAGAGAAAAATTATAGCAATAGCTGGATAATAATAATAAACTTTCACAATTATAAAATAAGATATCTGAAAGAAGATCAAAGGATCTTGTCGTCAGAACCTTAAATAAGTTCAAACAAGCATTAACAGTATCAAATTTTTACAAATTTCATATATATATATAATCCAAATATATATTATATAATCCAAAGAGAGATCATGCGGATCTACTCACCAATATTTTATATAAACGCATACGTTAAGTAAAGAATATAAAATCAACAAAATAAGAATAAACTTTTTACAAATATAAATAAGAAAAGGCAAAGTTATTAATTTATTTTATTAATAATAACATAATACGTCTTCTAATGAAAAAATCAGGGTTTTTAATTTATTTTTAAAAAACGAAAAGTAATGGGTAGTTCGAAGTTAAAATTAGGCAAAACAATTTTATTCCAAAGGTGTGGTGCACGATAGGCAATACAAAATTGATTAAAGTTCGTTTGACAGAAAGGTTCGTTTAAAAAATCAGTATTTCTCAAATTGTATTTGTTGATGGGTTTCGGAGTAAAAATATCTTTGAAGACAGATTGAGACAAGTCATTTTTCCACATGCATACAAAGCATAAAACATTATATATATTTAGCTCGAATATATTTAAAATTCTCATTTCAATAAAATAATGTTTTGCGTGAGAAAAGCGATTTGCAAAGCAGATTAAACGGATAGTATGTTTCTGACGGCGATAAAGACGTTGCAACTTACTTTTTTCTGTACTACCCCAGGCGATATTAGCATAATTTAAATAACTGTGTATAAATGAATAATAAAGTTTGATTAAAATTTTATTATTGAAGTAGATTCGTGCTTTATATAAAACTCCTATATTTTTTGAAATTTTAGTGCTTATGTAGTCGATATGATGATTTCAAGTGATGTTTACATCAAGATAATAAGAGCAGCCGTGGCGCAGTAGTTAGAGTTCCGGCTCAGAACCCGGAGGTCCGGGGTTCGACGCCAGCTTTAGCCCAACAAGCGACATTGGTACGGAGGGAGGCGTGAACTTCCTGTTAAATGCGCTCTATGATAAGACCGTAAGGACTTCTGGGAGCACCTAAATACATACCAAAAAAAAAAAAAAAAAAAAATTAACACCTTAAAATTTTGTTACGTAATCCCTTTTTATTTCATTTAGATCAATAAAAATTTTAGGTAAGTTTAATGGCAAATACCGTTTTTTGGAAAGCGAATGGAATAAGGTCCACTTTGTTTTATTAGAATTTAGAGTTAACTTCCCAGACAGCAAGCTTACATTAGCCCAACGTAAGTTTAACATTGGCAAGTTTATTACGTTGGGCTAACATTTAGCCAATGTTTTTTTTCGGCGTATTATTTTTAATTCTGCAAATCTGTTTTTTGCAAATATCGTCCTATATTGGTCCAACATTTAGCCAATGTTTTTTTTTCGGTGTGATATTGCAATTCTACATATCGGTTTTTTTCAATTATCGTATTACGTTGGGCCAATATTTGGCCAATGTAGTTTAGGCTTAATATTTTGCCATAAAAATCTGTTTTTACATTTATACCGTTGCCAATATTCGGCCAATGTAGTTTCGGGTTAGTATATACTTTCGAAACATTTTTTAATAATGGTATCGTTTGACAGAATAAAAAAAGGTTTCGATACTATTATATATCTTTCCATTTATTTAAATTATAAAAATAAAAAAAAGAAGCTATATTTATTAATCTTCTAATAAGAAGTAAATTTTATCTTCTAATAAGATTATTAATCTTCTAATAAGAAGTAAACTTCAAGAGATTCTCGTGACTTAATGTTTTGTTTTTTTAAATGAAATATTTGTTAACATTTAAATAATATGCTTAAAACATTTTTTACTACAATCTAAATTATTAATGTAATAATAAAGGCAATAATCAAATTATTTTTGTGTAAGATCTTAAAGTTATTTTTTTATTTTTATTGCTGTATTGGCATTTCAAATGTTTGTATTGAAGAGACAAAAAATTGTGTATATCTTGGTGTAGATGATTTATCCTCATTTTCTTATAATAAAACAAAAAATATTATTAAACTTTGGGATTTACCTGTAACTCCAAAATCTTTACAGAAGTTTAATGTTTGCTCTGAGAAGTTGAATGAACAAATTTATTAAATGGTAAGTGTCTAATGATTGAAAATCTTTATTCATAGCTTTAACTTTTACAATTTTAAAAACTTTTTCATATATAACGGTCAAAAAGTCAAAGTGTTAATTAACATTTTAGTATGTAATAATCAAAATATCAAAGCTTACACCACAGGCTTGGTCAGGAAGCGGGAGCGATTGCTTTCGAATACTGACCACAGAAAATATTTAATTGCGAAAAACTGGCCAGGTTTTTTAGTTGTTTTGAGAACATTTAAGTTTATGAACGTAACAAAATTTTTTTGTTGGATTTCAAAGTTGGTGTCACCAACTTTGAAAACCATTTGAAATCAAATGTTGAAAAAAACAACAGTATTTGTATTTATATCAGTATTCATATCAGTTTAAAGTTTTAACAGTTGCTGGTGATTCATTATTATTCATTATATAAATGTTTATTTAAATTTATCTAATAGATAAATTTTATATATCATCTATAAAAATATTCTACAATATTTTTATAGATGATATTATTTTTAAAAATAGTGTTATTAAAATTCAGAACTAAAATATGTAAAAAAAATTATTTACAAACATTGGACAAGGTCCGTACTGTACCTTGAAAATCTGGAAAATTTGTTAATATTGGCTAAAGTCGTGGAAAACCTGGAAAAGTCAGGAAATTATTTTTTTCTTTAGATAGTCATGGAAAAATCAGCAATTCTAGTTAAGAAGTTACTCGTTTCACAAATGAACGCTGTATTTTGAAAACGTGATGAGTCACACTTTTTTTAAAAGTGAGGTTATTTGAAAAAAATATTTTCAAAAAAATATTCTTTTCAAATAACCTCACTTAAAATAAAAAAATATTAAGATAAAATAAAGATTTTTTTAGATAAAATAAAGATTTTTTTAGATAAAATAAAGATTTTTTTAGATAAAATAAAGATTTTTTTAGATAAAATAAAAATTGTTTTAGATAAAATAAAGATTGTTTTAGATAAAATAAAGATTTTTTTAGAGAAAAGAAACAATTTTTAGATAAAATAAAAATAAATTTTTTTACAGGAGAAATATTTTTCACTCCCTTGTAAAATTTTAATTTTGTGACTTGTCACATTTTCAAAATCCAACGCTCAATTAAGCTATTATGTGCTCAATTAAGCTATTTTTTGATGCTACCCACTTATTTTTTCTGAAACTTATGTTTTCTTAGTGTTCATTCTTAGTCGTCATTGAAGTACAACTTGGTAAACTAAAAAACACATCAAATTCAGTTATAAAAATTTGAGTAACAAAGGTATACTAATTATTGTATTGCCTGAAAGAGTGTCATTGCTATTAAAAGCAGTGAAGAATTCAAGTACTCTGGAAGAAAAGAAAATAAGTAAGTAAATTGTAAAAATTTTTTTATGCATTTTGTATGATATCTTAGTACAATTTATATACTTTAAATAAAATACTCTTTGAAGATTTTTTGTAAATTACATTTTATATTAGTTTAAGTCTAAATAAAAGTTACTTTAAATATTGCCAGGTTGTGTATTTTTGCAGGTCAATTATTTGGCACAAATCGGAGTTAACGACAAAGGAGATTGTATATTTTATTTGCTAAGAATAGTTTTTTAAAATGGCCTAGTTGTAAAATTAAACTATGCAGGGAGAGGACAAAAAATTGGAATAGAAAAAATAATGATTGCATATGCTGCTATTGGTAAGTGGTTTAGAAAAGTTTATTTTTTCAGTTTCAATTTTGCATTACAGAATTACTTTCAATTTGTTATATTTCTTTGGTGCATAATTAAACAAACATTTCTTTTTTGCAGAAACTGTGAAGTCAAATAAGCATGGCTTATGCAGACATGTGATAGAGATAGAGGAAGAAAAAATAATAATCGTGGGCACTAAATATCATAAGCTAAACACGATTCAATAACAAATAGCTCAGCCAATATCGAAACTACTCTATAAATTTTATTGTGAATTTTTTTATTTAAAACTCAATGTGTCAGTGTTTGGTTTAAGCTTAGTGTTTGCAATATGTATATTTAACAGATAAATTATGTTAAATAAATAAATTTTTATACTTGTATCATACATTCTTTTTTTTCTATATAAATTTTCAATGTGGCGATGCAAATCATCTTATTTGTAACAACGATCTAATGTTGCATAAAACGTTAGGCCGATATATAACATACGATATTGGGCCAATGTTGTATACAAAGTTAGGCCAATTTGGTATACAACGTTGGGTCAATGTTGTATACAATGTTGGGCCAATGTCGTATACAACATTGGCCTCACGTTATATACAACGTTGGGCCAATGTTGGGTAAACGTTGTATACAACATTGGGCCAATGTTGTACACAACATTGGGCCAATACCTAACCAATGATCAAACCTGCATTGGGGCAACATCGACTTTCAACGTTGGGCCAATGCATCATCATGCATTGGCCCAACGTTGGTCCAATGTAAGGTTGCTGTCTGGGTTATGACATTTAAACCAACTCGATACATGTATAAGCTCTTTGTTCATTGTTTTAAAAAGTTCAAAGATATCACTGTTAGAAAGAAATAAGTTAGTATCATCTGCAAACATAATACTTGTTAGTTTAGAGGCTTTATTTAAATCATTAATATAAATTAGGAAAAGGAGTGGACCAAGAATTGAGCCTTGTGGGACTCCACATGTTATAGAAAGACAATTGGTATGATAACCGTCATTACTCGGAACAAATTATTTACGATTTGACAAATAGCTTTCAAACCATTTTAAAATTTTATTTTTAATTCCATAGTGTTTAAGTTTATAGATTAGAATTTGGTGATCAACCGTATCAAAAGCTTTTGATAGATCAATAAAAAGTCCTAAAGTATATTGTGATTTTTCAAATGATTTTGAGATTTCACGTACAAATTGGATAATTGCATGTTCAGTTGAGCTATCCTTTTTAAAACCGAATTGATTAATGTTAAGTAATTTATTAACATGAAAATATTTGTATACTCTGTTATATATAATTCTTTCTAAAATTTTTGAAAATGTGGAAAGAACAGAAATAGGGCGATTGTTACTAATAATTGATTTGTCCCCTTCTTTAAAAATAGGAATAATTTTGGCAATTTTTAACAGTTCGGGAAAAACACCTTGATGGATAGAAGCATTAAAAACTTTAAAAAGAACAACTTTTAGCTGTTCAAAACAATAACGTTTCCATTTATTTGATCTGCTCCAATTGCTTTATTTTTTTTAAAAGATTTGAAGGCTCTTTCAAACTCTTCAAACAATAATTCAGAAGACAACTCAACTGAACCAATGCAATTATCAATGGGTACTAGAAAATCAGTAAATAAAGATTTGGTCTTTGGGATTTTTTTAAAAAGTGTTGGACCTATATCAATAAAAAATTTGTTAAATTCTTGAGCTATAGTTCTTGGTTTGTATAAACTTTTGTTATCGACTCTAACCATTTGTGGCAGAAAACCTTAGCATGTTTTTCAATAATTTCATTCATTGCCATGTGCGTTTTGTGTCATTTTTAAATGTATTGAGTAATTGGGAGTAATATTTTTTTTTTAGATTTTTGTGAATAGATTTTTGTAGTCCTTGTAAATTTTTTCGTTTTTAGGTGTTTTTGTTTTCAGAAAATTTATATATAGTTTTTGTTTAATTTTGGACGATTTTTTAAAGCCCTTAGTGATCCAGGGTGTATTGCAGCTCTTAGTAGTTATTTTATTTTCAATGATTGGGAAATTAGCATCGTATACAGAAAAAAATGTTTTGAAAAAAGACTCATAGATATTGTTAGCATTATCATTAAAATTTATGTTATTCCAGTGCAGTAATGAAAGTTGATTTTTGAATAAATTAAGGTTACCCTCATTATAAATGCGTTTTCGAATTACTCTTTGTGCGGTTAAAGTTTTTTCAGAGTTTGTATTATCTAATTTTAGGAATATAGGGAAACGATCTGATATATCGGTTCGCAAAATACCTACTTTTAAATCATTGTTGAAAATATTTGAAGTTATTATATTATCTATTAGAGTTGCTGAATTTATCGTTACTCTTGTAGGTTTGCTTATTAAAGATATTGAACCCGTTTCAAAAATTTCATCATAAAAGTTTTTAACTTTAAGGTTATCATTATAAAGAAAACAATTCATGTTTAAATCTCCAATTATAAAATTTTGCTTTTTTTCAACGGTATCTTTTTTAATTTACCTTTTTTAAATTTTTTGCGTGTGGAGTGTTTATTGACATAAGAAAAGCATTTGATACAGTTGAGCACACAATCCTCTTAGAAAAATTGAAACACTACGGTATAAGAGGTATTCCTTTTCTCTGGTTTTCCTCTTATCTTTGTAATAGAACACAATTTGTTTCAATTAATGGTATCAACTCAGGACTAGCTAAATCTTTTAATGGTGTTCCGCAAGGCTCGGTTTTAGGTCCATTACTTTTTCTTATTTTTATCAATGGTTTGAATGTTTCTCTTAAATTTTCTACTGCTTATCACTTCGCGGATGACACCAACTTACTCCTAATTAATAAATCACTTAAAAAACTTAACAAAAATATGAATCACGATCTAGCTAATGTTGTTCAATGGTTCCGCTCCAATAAATTATCTCTTAACTCTAAAATAAACGGAAAGTATTATATTTAAATCTGCTCAAACAAAAATAAATAAGCAATTAAATTTCAGATTAAGTGGCCAAAAAAAAAATCCAGTTAACTCTATTAAATATCTTGGAATCAAAATAGACTCTAATTTATCTTTTGCATCGCATCTTCAAGACTTAGCATTGAAATTAAGCAGATCGAATGGTATTTTAGCTAAAATTCGTCATTTTGTTAACCATGAAACTTTGCTTAATTTATATCATGCTATTTTTCACTCTCATCTCAAATATGCTTGCCAAGTTTGGGGACAATCTAAGCAGCTTGCTTTTTTAAGACTAACTTATCTCCAAAACAAAGCTCTAAAATTAACTTACTTTCAACATACTAATTCGAACTGTAGCATACTCTATTTTTTATCTAAAGTCCTTAAATTGTGTGACCTTATTCAGCTATCAAATTGAACCAAAATCATAATAACTTACCTCTTACATTTATCAACTTTTTTAGTTATAGGGAAAACTGTAAATATATTCTACGATCTGCTTTCAACTTTAAATTATCTGTACCTAAATACCGAACTGTTCATTACGGCTACGAATCCATACAACATAAAAGCATACAAACCTGGAACAATCTCCCTTCCCAATTAAAATCTCTTAAATCATTCTTAAAATTTAAAACCGCTCTCTTTAACTATTTTTTAGAAAAATACTCTTTATAAATCTTATACCTTTTTACAACTTATTATTTTTAACCCTAACGCAGTGCTTCTATTCATTTTTTATTTTTTCTATTTTCTATCGTGATATATTACTAATTTCAATATCAATTATTAAATTTATTATTATAAACTGATATGTTTCTATAGTATTCTCTTATCACTGTTGTCGTTACTATTACTATATTTTTATCATAATGAATATTATTGTAATTGTTATTATTGTTGTTGTTATTATTTTTGTTGTTATTATTGCTATTATTATTGCTATTGTTGTTATTATTATTATTATTATTATTATTATTATTATTATTATTATTATTATTATTATTATTATTATTATTATTACTATCTCCATCTTATTTTTATTTTGTTTGACAGGTGTTTACTTTATATTAGTACAAATTAGTATTTGTAAATATCCTTGATGTAACAACTTTATATTTGATTTGATTTGATTTGATTTAATAACTTGTTGTAAAAACATGCTAAAGTTTTCGCTTACGCCATCAGGTGGCCGATAACAACAGCTTAGTAAAATTTTTTTTTTGTGTCAGTTAGTAATTTCTATAGTTGCAATTTCTTTATCGCAATCAGAAACGCTTAAATCGTGTCTAAAACCATGCTCAAAATTTTCGTGAACATAAATTAAAACTCCACCACCGCGCTTATTTGTTTTCCTTTCCATTGAAATTGTATTAAAATGAGGTAGATGAAAATTATTTAGGTCTTTTTTTTTTTTTTTTTTTTTAACATCTTCACTTCCAACAAGGCTGCAAGCGACCACTATAAGAGTTGGAAGTTACTGGAAGAGAAAAGACTAAATCTGTAGAGCAAGATAACGATTGACTGATGACTTAAAAGATTGCAAATTATATGAATCAGGAAAGCAAGATGAAGGAAGCGAATTCCAAAGAACTGATGTTCGAGGCAAAAAACTAGAAGAATAAGAGTTTTTGAAGCACTTAGGAACAGTCACAGAAAAAGGATGAGACTTAATTGAATGGCGAGTAACACGAGAATGAATTTTAGTAGATGGCACAAGGGACGCTAGCTCTTTAGAGCAGTGCCCATTATAGTATTTGTAGAAAAGAGAAAGAGAAGCAACATTACGACGATGTGACAAAGGTTGGAGATTGGCTGCCAGAGCAGGTCCAACTATGTTTACAATTCGTTTTTGCACCTTGTCTAAAAGAGAAAGAGCATCATTAGAAGATCCGCCCCAGATGTGGCAACAGTATTCCATACAAGGACGGATTTGAGATTTGTAGAGATAGAGAATAGAATCTGGAGTAAAAAAGTGTCGAGCTCGATAAAGAGATGCAACCTTAGCAGATGCTAATTTTGCAATGGATTTGATATACGGTTTAAAAGAAAGAGCAGAAGTAAGAGTTAATCCTAGAAGATGAATGGTAGATGACTCATCTAGTACATTACCATTCATAAATATAGGAAGATCTAAATTATTACGATAACGATTGGCCGAATAAAATTGAGTTTTATCTGAATTAAAGTTCACCAGCCA